CTTCGTGATACCGGTAGGCCGAGTTGGGGTTGATCAGAAATAGGTTCGGGCCTGAAGAACCAGTAGGTACTGGTGGTTTAAACCACCACTCTACCTGACGTTTTGAAAGTCGGGGGACCGGTAGCACATGTTGATGAGGACGACCGGTAGAGTGTGGAGACCGGGCAGAGGCCCAAAAATGAAAAATCCGGCAAATTGCCGCCACCACGTATTTTGTGGTTAAAACGATTTTTTATTTATTTTTTAATATTTTTCCCGGAAAGATCACGACCAAATCTACGGACCCTCCAATTTTCAGATTTTTTTATGAATTCTTCTGAGCGTGAAAAATCGCTGAAATTGGGGTACGTTTCCCGTTGGCCCACAAGTAGTAGAGTGGCAAAAATCAAGAATGAGACAAATCGGCGCGGCATTTATTCCACCAACTAAAAAAAAAATTAAAAACTTTAAAATATTTTCCGTGGAAAGATCACAACCAAATCTACACTCTTCAATTTTCAGAGTTTTCAAGGCATTCTTCTGAGCACGAAAAATCACAGAAGTTAGGGTACTTTTTTCTTTGGCCCAAACGTTGGAGTGGCAAAAGTGAAAAATGAGACGAATTTGCGCGGCATTTATTTCATGATCTAAATTTTTTTTTTTTCCTGATACTTTCCCAGTAAAGATCACAACCTCATCTTCAGGATCTCAAGTTTTCAGATTTTTTCCCTTATTTTTCTGAGCGCAAAAAATCGCCAAAGTTGGCGAGTGAAAATTGCAGGACTGGACCCACCTGCGCCTCCCGATCGGCGCCCCCCCTAAAGACCCGCTCCGAACTCACCGGAATGCCACTTTTCCGGTGCCAGGTAGAGTGGCGGTTTAAACCCCTTTAGCCCCTTTCAAACCAATTTATAACCCCCTCCCCCCGCTCCGAACTCACCGGAATGCCACTTTTCCGGTGCCGGGTAGAGTGGCGGTTTAAACCCCTTTAGCCCCTTTCAAACCAATTTATAACCCCCTCCCCGCCTTGACAGCCAACTCGCAAAAAAAGAAATGAGCCCAGATTGGGGGTCCTCTGGGAGAGCGCAGAAAACCAAAAAAAAAAAAAAAAAAAACTTTTTTTTTTTTCCACGGCCAGGTACCCCGGGCGTCAGACCCCCCTGGGCGTCCACGCCCGGGTGCCCGGCCGGGCGTGAGAATCTTCCTAGTGACAAACCCAAATGTAATCAAAGTCATCAAATCATCAATGGTCCAAAAGCCAAGCAAATTAATCAACTGCCTCCCTCGCTATTCAGTCAGCAGAAACAGAACCATTCCTTTTTTCCCTGTTTGCTCGTTGAACTCAGGCTGAGTGGTCAAAAGACTCGAAACCAATACCAAGAACAAATCAAGCACAGATCACGATCACATCGTCAACGGCCCAAAAGCCAAGAAAGAAAACCAAAAGTCCATCCCCCTATTCACTCTTCAGCAAGGTGAAGCACTTCGTCCTTAATTTACTTCTCGTGACAGTTATCAGAGAACAATCCATAATCCATTCAACAATCAACGGTGTGAAGCCCAAGTCTCCCTGCTCACTCTCAAACGAGGAAATTTCAGGAAAACTTGGTTTCCCCCTCCTGTTTTACTATTCATGATGAACACCTGTAGCAATCAATTGATCAAAACTGACAAAAATTCAAAATCCAAATCACTTCTTTTTGTTGCAAGTCTCTGGGATCTCGGGCGACTTCTATCTGTCTTCCCTTCATCCTTCATTTCGCACTTGTTTCCCCTCACTCTCGTTCCTTAGGTGTCAAATGTGACGCCGTACCTGGTCATTTAAATCAGACTTCCATCTTTATCAAACGAGAAGGAGTTTACTATGGTCAATGTAGTGAACTTTGTGGGCCAATCCTGCCTTTATGCCTATTGTACTGGATTCCATGGCTTTCATGTCATCGTAGGAACTACTTTTCTTACTAGTTGTCGCTTGCTTCCTTGGCTGCGCCTTTTTTCTTCATGCAATATTGCTGTGCATAGTACCCTGTCATCTCTGCTTCCCTGTTCACGGCATCAAATGGGTTGTCTGAGAGGGGTATCGCCTGCAAATTTTACGCTGCTGCCCTGGCCTTTTCCTCGTCTACCCTCACGTAAACCATGTTTCATGGGGGATTTGAGGCGGTCTCGAGCCACGAGGGGCCGGGCTGGGATCCCCCACAGTCCTACTTTGTAGGGAAAAAAGCAATCCAAAGAAATAATTTGAAAAATAATAATAAATTGCGGAATCAAAATGCCATCTTTGTTCAGCTCTATGAAGGCCTTACTCGGAGGGGGGCACAGCATTCATTCGGCTGAGTGAACATACCTGTGTAGCGAAATCTTCCAGTATGCCCTCCTTGCTTATCCCGTGTTCGAGGCAGAGCTGCTTCCAGAATTCTGTACCTATTTGATTGCCACATTGTCCAACCTGCAGTGTGATGATTTCCCTCGGCATAGCGGTCGGTCAGGTCAACCAATCTTTCCTCCGGTCTGCGCCTCCCACTTCTCCTTTTCAATTTATGTTGTTCCCCTCCTATCCTCACACCCACACCACAGCTGCCTTTCTCTTCACTGATGACTTATAAGAATGAGTACCTCTTTCCTCTTTTTTTGAAAACCTGCAGGGATTGAAATGCAATTCAACATCAATCTCCATCCAAAGATGGCAGCAAATATGCCCAGAGATGTAGCACCAACTCCCATGAACAACTTCACAACAGAGAGAGAGCAGAAAAAGAATTTAAAGAAGAAGATTCACACCATAGCAAAGCTGGAATTGACAAGAACGTCCTCCTACCGGCCCGCTGGACGCTGCCTAGGCGCAGCTCCACCTCACCATACAACCTCTCAGGTGGTGGAGGAGCAGCAACCGCTGCTCTTTGCAGCTCTCCTAGCTCAAGGTTCTTTGGTGCAGCAGCAGGACCAACAGGCGCTGCTCTTGGCAGCTCCCCTAGCTCCAATCTGCACGCAAAGACTGACCAAAGCGCTACAATTCTTTTCACTTAGGGATGAAACACAGTAGATCCGCAACGTCCATGAGCAGCACCAAAACCAGATCAAGGTGGACGAGGGAGGAAGGACAATGCAAGCAAGAAAAGAGGAAAGAATTCGAACATGAAAAAAAAACACTACCACAAAGAAAGACACTCTTTGTGTCCACTCACACTCTCTCTGTTCGCTATCCTCTCGCCCAGCAATGCTGCAGAGTCTGACCACCATGACTGTGCTCCTTGACCATCACCAGGTACGTACCCCAGTCCCCACCGCTGTCCTTGTCCCCGATCACCCAGATACTGCGCCAACCTTTCCACCTCCCAGCCCAGCTATGGCTGACGCTGGGCGGAGCAGCTGTCCACCACTGCTCTCCCCTCAACGAGGGGTCACCGGCCGCTTGCTTCCACTCCTGCAGAGCTAGTGCTGGCAGCCAGTGCCACCGAACACGTCGAACGATCCGACCTCCTTGCTTTCGGAGGCTGAGTATGCCTGGACTGGAACTGCACGCTTCCCAGCCTCAGAACCTTCCGGACTGAATACCAAGGCCCTGGAGTCTGCAACTAGCGGAGCATCCCCCAGCGCTCCCTCTTCTTCACCTCTGTCTTCTTCTCGTCCTTCGTCTTCGTTATGCAAGCTCTCTCCACCACACCCTCTTTCGCTTCCATCTTCTCCCCTCGACCGACGAAAGGCACGTGTATCTGAATCCCTGGAGACAAGTGAGAGTACCCTCACAGGCCCCTCATTCGCTCAGCACCCTGGCCAATCCTTCCATCGTCGGAGATGAAGTTCCCCTCCCACTTCCTCTAAGCGCCTCCGCCCTTCATCTCCAATGTGTTGATCACCATCCTCTCGATACTTCAGAATTTCGTCAACTACCTGGCCCCACCCCTCCTTCCCCCTTCTGGTTTCGTCTCGTACCCTTCTTCTATCATCGTTACCCTGCTCGTATTCTAGTTAACTATATCCCCAACCCCTCGCCTAGAATGCCCACTTTTCGTATGCATGTCCTGTTATTTTGCTGTGGAATGGCGAGAGTATAATTATACTGAATTGTACGCTATGTACGGTGCAGTTCCCCACTATCGAGGGAGAACTTACTTTGCAACAGGATGTGATGAATACCCTGCCATCGCTTTATTCGCACTGTTTGGAGTATTTGTTTCCTTGCTTGTTCTTGTTTACCTTATGCTGTCTGTCTGGTGTATATATAGTTTTGGTCGAGTTTCTCTTCTATACATAGTTTTGGTTGAGTTTTTCTTCTACATATATAGTTTTGGTTGAGTTTTGTGTGGAATATTTGTTTCCTTGTGGCCTTGCTGCCTTGCTGACTTGCTCCCTTGTAGCCTGCTGCCCATCATGCATGCTGCACTGCTGCCTGCCTTGCCGGTGCTGCCTGCCTTGCCGGTGCTGCCTTGTGCCTTGTGCCTTGCTGCCTTGTGCCTCCGCTGCCTTCTTGCCTTGCCGCCCGCCTCTCTGCCTTGCTGCGCTCTCCTCATCGGGTCACACTGGTGCTTGTCTTGTCGGCGATGACTTGTTGCCTTGCTGATTCGTTCCTTTGTTGCTGCTGCTCACCATGCTGCCTTTCTACTTGCCTTACCGCTTGGTTGCCAAGCTGCCTTCTCTGTGCCATCTCACCTATGTGCTTTGTTCTTGTTTGCCGTCCAGTGCCCTCTCTGCTTTGCTTTATTACTTTTTTAACATGTGCAGTCATTCGCTGCAATTGAAACCTAGCAGCGAGCTTTCTGGCCCAAAGACCCTTACATGCCAGCAGAGGTAATATTGAAGTTCTCTGTTTTGCATGCATGGGCAGATGGTTCCAGCTCCAGCAGCACCCCAGGGAGGTCACTTACGTCAAGGAGCTCCATGGGCTCATCCATATGCTATACACAGTCCCTGTCCGTTGATACCCATAACTGGTAACGCTTGGGTATTATTATGAAATAGTAGAAAGACCTGTACCTGTCTGTTGATGCCCATACCTGGGGCATATTTGACGTTGGGTTGCATGATACTAGCGCCATTCACCCGAATAGAACGCCCGGTCATTATAGCTGTATTTGGCACAACTTTCAGCCTAGGTACGGTGATAATTACCGGGCGTTCTATTCGGGTGAAGACGGTAGCGCCATTCACCTGCAGTTGGGCTGAACTAAGGTATACCTTCATCGTTGACCGGGAGCAATATCGCAGTCCCTCCTATGGTAGAGTTGGTGTGCACCAAGAAGAGGACAAACCACTTTCCACTTTCCAATTCGGTACACAACGTAATTGAAACTTCTGTACCTGCACAGACGGGCAGTGCTACCGTCTTCACCCGAATAGAACCCGGTTATTATAGCCGTCTTTGGTGCAATTTTCAGTCCAGATACGGCTATAATGACCGGGCGTTCTATTCGGGTGAAGACGGTAGCTACGACTGACCACTCTGATGGCCGCAGCCTGCCTTGCACAGTGGTTTGGAGCGGTTTGCCTTTGCGTTGCCCTTTGGTGGTCAGTTGGGCTGACTCCCGACGGAGTTCAATTGGCATGTGCACACTCAGTGTCTGCCATGGGGGCACTCGAAGGGCATGTGTTTATGCCACTCTCTGTTTATCCTTGCGCAGGTTTATCACCCAGTGCTGTGTTTATGTCACTCTCTGTTATGTCACTGGGTTTATCCTTGTTCATGGGAGTGTCACTCTCTGTTTATCCTTGTTCACGGAAACCCTGTTACAATTTCTCCTTCCTCTAAATGATACGGTTCCATGAACTTCTCATAGCACTCCCAGCAGCAAACCGCACAGATCACAGTGACCCAGACACTTCACCAGACCATTCACGCGGTAGGAGGGTCCACATCCCGACTGTCCGTGGGGGGTCCTCCACCGGTCGATCCCAACCCGTCCACCAACCATCCCGACCCATCCCGACCCTCCATCCACCCATCCTGACCTCCTTGCCAACCCAGATACACACACAGAGAGAGAGAAAGAGACCCACGAAGCACTCATCCTGATGCTACCTCCGTGCATCCCTGCCCGTCTATCACCATTTGTGTGTGACCCTTCTTCCCCCCATCCCGACCATCCTTCCATCCGTGGGGATCCTCGAGCTGTCCATCCCGACCCACCTACACCATCCCGACCCATTCCAACCCTCCATCCATCCGCCCATCCCGACCTACCTACCGCCCATCGCCAACCACCCATCCCCACCCGGCCCATCGCCCATCCTGACCGTCCATCCGCCCACATCCTGACCCTTGATCTGGTCATCCCAAACTACATACCACTCATCCCGACCCTCCATCCGCCCTCCATCCACCCATGCCAATAAAGCCACCCCAATCTGGCAACCGCCCATCCTGATGAGGAGGGGGGGGGGGGGGGAAAGGCCACGAGATTGTCTGGTCATCCCAACCTACATACCACTCATCCCGACCCTCCATCCGCCCTCCATGCACCCATTTCAATCCGCATACCACCCGTCCCGAGCCACCCCAATCTGGCAACCGCCCATCCTGATGAGGAGGGGGGGGCGGGAAAGGCCACGAGATTGTCTATCTGATGACTTGCTGATTTGCTGCGCTGGTGCCACATCGTTACAGTCATCTGCTGGATGACAACACCCACAAAGAAAAAGAGAGAGGGACAGAGGACGCCTTGCGCTCGCGTCTCCACTCATGTCACCATAGACCCCCTCCATCCCTCCACACATCAGAGACACAAAGACAGAAACAAAGAAAGACGAGCAAACACAAAATCGTTCTCTTTCATGTCCCTCACGGGACAACAATCCCGCCCTCTGCCTCAGACATAGGGCCTCGCTGCACTACTCTCGAAATGTGCAAACGAGAGTGAATCTTCTGCTAGAAAATGGAAAGATACACGGCCATGATTTTTGTCTTTTATGCATGTTGAGAGTAGTGCAGCGAGGCCCATAACCTGCATTGCATCCACTTGTTTTTTGTAATGCATACCAAGGTACAGAGCAGTTATTGGTTTTCTTGGTTTTCATTAAGGCCCTCGCTCCACTACACAACCCTCTACACAAGGTACAGAGCATTTGGACGCTTTTTGTCAACCCCCTGACAAAAAAAAAAAAAGCTAACCCAAAAGGGCATTTCATGAACTTTGAGAAAAATTTCAGAGGGTTATTCCACTCTACCCACATCTTGTAGAGGGGTATCTTTACCATAGACATGAACTTTCAGGGGTATTTTGCAAATTTTCCCTGTTCATTTCCCACATTTGATTATTTCCATTTTGTTTTGGAGGGCGGGGGGACCACCGAGCTGGATGCATGTTCCAGCAGGTGCAGCTCTGGGCGGATGAAAACGACAGCAGAAAGACCAGAAGGAAAGATGTCTCGATTTATGCGTGTCATCCTTGCGCAGGGGCCATGCTAATCTTCTCTGTATCGTTCCAATTTTAACGGATGTCCCGAAGGACTGAAGAAGAAGGAAAGATGTCGTATCGTGGCGGACTTGCTTTTTTTTTTGAAGGGGGAAGCCACTATCACTCTGTCCTTCTTATTCTGTCGGATTGGAACCCTTGACGTTTCTGATCCC